TATCCTTTGGGGTGAGTGGTGTGTTGAAGTCTCCTAAAATGAATGCATTGCAGTCTATTTCCTCCTTTAGTTCTGTTAGTATTTGTTTCACATATGCTGGTGCTCCTGTGTTGGGTGCATATATATTTATAATGGTTATATCCTCTTGTTGGACTGAGCCCTTTATCATTATGTAATGTCCTTCTTTATCTCTTGTTACTTTCTTTATTTTGAAGTCTATTGTGTCTGATACTAGTACTGCAACACCTGCTTTTTTCTCTCTGTTGTTTGCATGAAATATCTTTTTCCAACCCTTGACTTTTAATCTGTGCATGTCTTTGGGTTTGAGGTGAGTCTCTTGTAAGCAGCATATGGATGGGTCTTGCTTTTTTATCCATTCTATTACTCTGTGTCTTTTGATTGGTGCATTCAGTCCATTTACATTTAGGGTGATTATGGAAAGATATGTACTTATTGCCATTTCAGGCTTTAGATTTGTGGTTACCAAAGGTTCAAGGTTAGGTTCTTTACCACCTTATTGTCTAACTTAACTTGCTTATTGAGGTATTATAAACACAGTCTGATGATTATTTCTCTCCCTTCTTATTCCTCCTCCTCCATTCTTCATATGTTGGGTGTTTTGTTCTGTCCTGTTTTTAGGAGTGCTCCCATCTAGAGCAGTCCCTCTAAGATACCCTGTAGAGTTGGTTTGTGGGAGGCAAATTCTCTCAACTTTGGCTTGTCTGGGAATTGTTTAATCCCTCCTTCATATTTAAATGGTAATCGTGCTGGATACAGTATCCTTGTTTCAAGGCCCTTCTGTTTCATTACATTAAATATATCATGCCATTCTCTTCTGGCCTGTAAGGTTTCTGTTGAGAAGTCTGATGATAGCCTCATGGGTTTTCCTTTATAGGTGACCTTTTTCTCTCTAGCTGCCTTTAAAACTCTTTCCTTGTCCTTGATCTTTGCCATTTTAATTATTATGTGTCTTGGTGTTGTCCTGCTTGGGTCCTTTCTGTTGGGAGTTCTGTGTATTTCCGTGGTCTGTTCAATTATTTCCTCCCCCAGTTTGGGGAAGTTTTCAGCTATTATTTCTTCAAAGACACTTTCTATCCCTTTTTCTCTCTCTTCTTCTTCTGGTACCCCTATAATACGGATATTGTTCCTTTTGGATTTGTCACACAGTTCTCTGATCCTGGAGATCCTTTTATCTCTCTCTCTGTCAGCTTCTATGCATTCCTGTTCTCTGGTTTCTATTCCTTCAATGGCCTCTTGCATCTTATCCATTCTGCTCATAAATCCTTCCAGAGTTTGTTTCACTTCTGTGATCTCCTTCCGGGCATCTGTAATCTCCCTCTGGACTTCATCCCTTAGCTCTTGTATATTTCTCTGCATCTCCGTCAGCATGTTTATGATTTTTACTTTGAATTCTTTTTCAGGAAGACTGGTTAGGTCTTTCTCCTTCTCAGGTGTTGACTCTGTGATCTTTGTCTGCCTGTAATTTTGCCTTTTCATGGTGATAGAGATAGTTTGCAGAGCCTGCACGAGTGACGGCTGGAAGAAGTTTCCTTCTTGTTGGTTTGTGGCCTCCCTCTCCTGGGAGAACAGCGACCTCTAGTGGCTTGTGCTGGGCAGCTGCGCGCAGATGGGGCTTCTGATTCCTGCCTGGCTGCTGTGGAGTTTATCTCCACTGTAGCTGTGCGCGTGCTTGCCTTGGGCTGCTGCTCCAATATGGTGGTGCCATGTTTGAGGGGGAGCGGCCGGGAGGCTATTTATCTCCGTGAGGGGCCTCCATGCTCCCTGCTGCCCAGGGGGTTAGAGTGCCCATAGATCCCCAGATTCCCTGCTGCTGGACTAAGTGTCCCAGGACGCTTCCGTCCGGTTTTTGGGTCCCTGTCCCTTTAAGACTTCCAAAAAGCACTCGCAAAAAAAAAAAAAAAGCCACTCGCTCTTCTTTGTCCTGGACGCCAGCCTCAGGGACCCGCTCACCGTTCTTGCTGCCCTGTTTCCCTAGTATCCAGGGCCCCACGCATGCACCGTGACTGTGCTCTGGTCCAGATGCCTGGGGCTGGTTGTTTAGCAGTCCTGGGCTCCCTCTCCCTCCGGGCTCCAACTCCTCTCCTCCCACCGGGAGCTGGGGTGAGGGGCGCTCGGGTCCCGCCAGGTTGGGGCTTTTATCTTACCCCCTTCGCGAGGCACTGGGTTCTCGCAGGTGTGGATGTGGTCTGGATGTTGTCCTGTGTCCTCTGGTCTCTATTCTAGGAAGAGTTGTCTTTGTTATATTTTCATAAATATATGTGGTTTGGGGAGGAGATTTCTGCTGCTCTACTCACGCCACCATCTTGGCTCCACCCTTATCTTTTTCACTTTTATAGCCATTTCAATTCATGTCTCCATCTATTCTTTTTTTTTAAAGTCGGTTTTTTAGAGCAGTCTTACACTTACAACAAAATGGGAGGAAGGCACAGAGATCACCCCTCCACCTCCCGCCCTCACACATGCATAGCCACCCCATTATCCACATCACTCCCTGGGGTGGTACATCTGTGACCAAAGGATGAACCTAGAGAGACATAACTGCCTGAAGCCCACAGTTTGCTGTAGGGATCACTCATAGGGTACTTTCTATGGATTTGAACAAGTTATCATGACATCTGCCCATCATTATAATATCACACAGAATATTTTCACTGTCTTAAACATCAGTTTATGGTTTTTTAACACTATTCTAAGTCTGAAGGGATGACAGATTTTTCTGTAGCTATTGGAAGAATTTGCCAGCTCCTATGCCTGGTCTGCTTGGAATACTTTGTTATTCTTCTTGTGTCTTATCTACCTCCCTTTCCTCCCTGCCTTCCACCTCCATTGGATGGATGGATTTTGTAAGCTAGTTGTAGTTTGTGGATTTTAAAAGTTATTCTGTGTTTCTGATAAGCACATTGTGGCATGTGAGTGAGTGTAGGGAGGAGACTTGGTTTCTCCTGTCGCTCCCTCCACAACCATCGCTGTCTGTGCCTTGTAGCTCAGGTTAGGTTTTGGTCTCTTGCTCCACTACAAAAATGAGCCTGAGGAGATAGGTAGGGCAGGGGAAAGTCCTCAGAGCCAGAACTGGCAGTTTCTGAGAAGTGGTTTGCTTCCTTCTGTACAGGGGAAAGGCTCTTTTCACTGGCACACTTCAGGCTCCCCGACGGCAGGGAGGCACCGGTCTGGACAAGGGCCACTTGCTGCACAGAGCTCCCAGAGAACTGAACTCGGGCACTGCGGAGGGCCAACCTTCCTGCGGGCTGTGGCCACTGCTCTGCTGTCCTAAAGGAGCATGGGATGCTCCCAATAGTACTGAAGGGGCAGATTTATCACATTCTTCAAATCTGGGACTATTTACTTTTTTCATGTTGTTTTAAGAGAATAAATTGGGCCAGGACGGCATTGTGTCAAAACAGACAAAGCACTAATTTTAGCAATTAGACATGTTAGGTTTTTTTTTTTTACTAAGAAAAGGAAGCATGATGGTTTTATTTAGTTGCTTTTTAAGCCTTAATTTAATTAAATAATTAATTTTGGCCTTTAAAAAATCCTTAAATTTGTATTTGGTGGCAATGTTATTTAAAAAGAATCTGATTGTTTTGACTTAAATTATTGCTTCAGCTACTTTGAGATTAATTTAAAAGTGCTGACTAATTAGTTAGCTTCTTGGTAGTATTTCAGCCTTTGCAATAGATTTGACTAGATAGAGGCATCCAGACCTCTGGGAGAAGGTAACAATTCAGTAATTAAGACATTTTTTAAGCATTAGTACTAGTGGAATTATATGAATTTCTGGCTGTATGGTTCCTTATAATTTTCTGCAGAATTACTGTTTGATAGAACTGGATCATATATTAGCGTCTCCCTGAACTAGTAAAGGATCCTTTGAATTTGATTTTCTTGGTTTTGGTGACAAATTTTGCATGTTGCCTTAGGTAGAGTCAGCTCCACAAATTTTTGTTTTTTTTTAACCCAGTGTAATGAAATAAGCATGAAATTTGATAAGGCAGGATGGTTGGGAGCAAATCATAGTCCCAGGAAGGATGGTTCCTTAGTGTTGACACAAGCAGATGTGTGAATTACATCATTCACAGAGGTATGAAAGAGAAAGGCAGACTTGGGCCTAGCCCCAGACCTTTTTGTGAATTATTAAAGAATAATTAACAGCAACACAAAAGGTAAACCATGGCTCTAAGACAAATATAAAATGAATACATGTTTTATCTATTTCATTAATTAGTGAGGGAGCCAGTAAGATATTAGAAACAGTTCAAAGGAGAATTCATAGAACACACATAGACCAGTAAGAATGCTGACATGAATCTACAGATAGATATAAAATTGGTCAGTATGCATAAGAAATCATCAGCTACTTTTCCAGAGAACACAGTTTTTGTCTCTGTCGACAAGAATCATTGTAATTACTGTCATTACTCTACAATTTGTAGAGTTGTAAAATAGCTGAGAGACAATGAAAGATGGAGATAACCCAAAGAGTGTGCTCAGCAGAACATCCAGCAATCTTTTTTTAACCCTTCCAAAGTTTTTCACAGTCTTTCCTGAAAGAGTATTCTAGAAGCTATCTAATTCCTCTCTCAGCCTCTTTAAATTTGCTGACCTTTATCAGCCCAGTCAAACATCAGTCATGGTTTTAGGAATGGCTCAGAAAGGTGATTGATTATCCTATCTTTTGTCCACTGAATTAAAATCACAGTCTTTATACACTTTTAATCCTTTGTTATCTCAGAGCAGGGCTGCTGTGTGGTTGAGAAGACTGTGCCCTGAGGCAGTTGTGCCTGGCCAGTGTTCTGTCACCCAGGGGCTTTTCAGTGGGGTTGCAACTGTCCAGAGGAAGAACTTACTCTGATTTTCATGAGAGTACCAGAGAAACTAGTTCCCCCTGCCTCAAAACATACAGCTTGTTTTCACTGGTTTTAGTTCTTAGGATTATAACAATGAATCATTCATCCTGACTTCAACTTTTTCTTCTGCAGGTTTTCTTACAGAGACTGGAAAAACCAGAGCAAGTACAATTTTTTCTACAGGAACTGAATCTGCCTTCCAAGTTACACTGATCCGGATTATGGTACCTCTCATGCTACTTTCTTTAAGCAATATTACTGCTGTTTTTAAAAAGAGGATTACATTTGAGAGGTCTATGTCATTGGTTTTTCATTGAATATTTAATGATGATTCTTTGTCAGGCCTCCAGGAGAGGGCAGAGACACAGGGATGAAAAGATTATTATGTCTGTGAATGGTGTGAATGTAAGGATTGATAAGGATAAGGAATCTTTTCTTGGGAAGCAGCCTTCTTTTGCAAGACCTAATGTATTTGAAATATAAGTTTTTGGTTTGATTTTGATTTCAGCTTCTTGAATGTAGCCATATCATTTAGAAATAAAACAGCCACAGCACTTTTGGCCCTTTGGTGGACTTTATCTAGATGTCTGTTTCCAGGTTCGGCGTGGTGGTATTGGTGCCCAGTGTGGGCTGGTGTTTGCCTATAACTCATCTTCTGATAAATTTAATGCAGAAGAACACTTCAAAAGGTTTGAAAAATATGACAAATGGAAGCTTCAGGAATTCAGACAATTTGTAAAAAGCAGGTAAGGAACAGAATAAAAATCTTTCTATTTTTAATAAGATTTTATACATTCTCTAATTGGTAGAATATGCTTTCTTGTCTTTATAGAAAAGGGGCCACTGCCCCATCCTCCGAGGCCATGAGCATTCACTGCTTTCTAGCAGCAAATGTGAAGACATGTATTTTAATCTGTTCATAGACCCTTACTTGGTCCCTTCTATGACCAGTCATGCACATCTTTAGAATGGCTGGGTAATGATACATGCCTCAATTGTGGACAGCCTAGGGACTCAGTCTTACCTCACCGCTGGGAAAGTTACCCATCCCAACCTCCCTCCTTCTACTTATGCTTTCTTTGGAAATATTTATTAAGCACCTACTATGTGCTAGGCCTGATGCTAGGCACTGGTTTTTGGCTTGGGCTCAGGGTCAGGGGTAGTATGCTCTACTGCCTTTGTCTGAGACAGAAACTACCTTGGGTAAAACAGGTTTTTGGGGAAGGTGATGGGGGCTCAGTTTTAATCCTGTTGAATTTAAGGTTCCAGGAAGCCTTTGAGACATCCGAGAGCTAGTTTGGATCAACATGTCCAAGAAGAGTACAGATATGACAGACATTTAAGTGATAATTTGAAATGAATTAGAAGAGATCATTCTGGAAGAGTGTGTGAGTTGGGAAAAGAAGAGGACTTAGGTCAGCATACTGAGAGGCACCAGCATTAAGGGCAGCAGAGAAAAGGAGGTGGCAAAAAATGGCCAGAGAAGTAGCAGGAAAGCCAGGGGTGTGTCATCCTGAAGCCAAGGGAAAATCATGTTTAAAGAAGTAGGGGGGTGGGCGGCAGTGTCATGAGTTATCCAGGAGTCAGTAAGATAAAGTGTAGACGTGGATTTGTTGGATTTAGCCACAGAGGTCATTGGTGACCCCTTGGACACTGTTGTCTCCCTTACTAGTTTCAAGTTAAAACGAATGAGGCTGAACCCTAGGCTTGCTATTTTTGCTGCTGTATTTCACAGGTCATGGGGTGCCGGAGTTAACAGAAGCCTTCCACTATCATTAGTACTGTACTACTAAGCCTTAATGTAGTACAAAGGATGAATCACCCAGGATTGTGTTAAAAATGAGTATTCTAACTTGGTAGTTTTGAGTGGGGCCTGAGACTTTAACATTCTAATGAGCTCACAGGTGACTCTGATGCTCCCTGTTTGAATAGCAAGGATCTAGAATAATTCCCTCTCTTTGCTGGACTTCCTTTAGTAGCATTCCTGACAAATGTTCATTCAATTCTTCCTAGAATACTCTTAATGATGAAGAATATACTGCACTTCAATAATTAGAATATGTTCAGTTGAAATTTGCTTTTGTAATTCCAACTCAGTGGTCTTCATTCCAGCCTTCAATATGAATTGGAACAGATCTCCCTCCTAAAATCTCCCTCCCATTACACCTACGTGCCTTTTTAAAAGGCTTTTCCTTCTTAATAATAACTTGAGATTATACTTGTTTTTTAGCAGTTATGTCACACCCTTGGGACACATTAAAATAAAATAGGTCTTTTTCCCTAAATCTTCTTTCAAAGTCTTTCACATCTTATATAGGATGATTTTTTTTTTTTTTTGAGAGGG